AAAAACAGAACCTCCCTGGATCAGGACGTCGCACTAAACTGGATGAAAGAGCCAGGAGGAAACTGGTCAGAGAGGCTACTAAGAGGCCTACAGCAACTCTGAAGCAGTTGCAGGAATTTATGACAAAGAGTGGTTATTGTGTGCATGTGACAACAATATCACAAATTCTCCACAAATGTGGCTTGTATGGGAGGGTTACAAGAAAAAAGCCACTCATCAAGAAAGGCCACATGCAGTCATGACTGAGCTTTTCCCAAACGCACCTTGAAGATTCTGAGGCAGATGAGACTAAAATTGAATTATTTGGCCTCAATACCAAATGTTATGTCTGGTGGAAAACCAATACAGCTCACCATCCAAATAACAGCATTCCTACAGGAAAGCATGAGGTGGTAATATCCTGTTATGAGGGTGTTTCTCTGCAGCAGGGACTGGAGCACTTGTCAGGATAGAAGGAAAAATGGATGGGGCAAAATACTGTCAAATTCTTGAGGAAAATCTGCTGCCCTCTGCCAGAAAGTTGTCAGTGGGAAGAAGGTTTACCTTCCAACATGACAATTTTTTTTGTACCCACTGTAATTTTTTTGCCGTGTAACATCATTACATTTTACTTGAATAGATGAATGCAGATAGCAAAATGCACTTCCATTTACACCTTTATTAAATGTGGTTAGAATTCATCATAGACCACCTCTAAATGTGCTGACAATTTCCATTTCACACTTTCAAGAGCCAGGCACTGGTAAAACATCTACTATGCTTTAGGGTCATTCTGTGTCAAATCAACTCAAATCAACAAATTTCACAAATTTTCTTGGCTAAAACGTTTGATTTTGTTTATATTTTTCTGAAAAAAGACAAACAAAAATAGTAATGAAAGTCAAAATATTAAATGTCATGAATTAATATTTACTGAGTAATTCATTTTGAAGAGGGGGTTTTCACCTGAGATTTGAAGCCAAATTATAGGGTGTATTTGGTTTTCACCCTTGAAAATCGGTCAAATTTGGACATGGAGTCACATTGAGATACCCATAGCTCTGGGATTGAGCCATATATGGCCTTAAAAATTAAGATTACAAAAGAAAAGTTATTTGAGAACCAAAATCAAAATGTTTAGCTATTGTTGCTTACAAATAGTTTTAGTCAGAATACACTGTCTTTGAATAGCTGTCAAAAGAGAATGATTTTTGCTCCCATAAGGAATTAAAACCAGCAGGGACGAACTGGATCATGCTAACCAACCCCATTTCATATTGTTAGTAATTTACATAAGAATATACAACATACATTTACAAAACATTGACTCTATGAGTATTTTGAATAGTTGCCTATGTAATGCATCTCATCTTCTTAATTGGATTTGTTTTAATCTAGGTCAGTTTCAGCTGTGTTATTAATCTAGTGAGTTGACAACTAGTGAGTTGTGTGTTTCAGGAGGAAGATCAATGTTCTAGCCTTGTTTTCTAAACAGGGTATAAACTTCTGTCCTGGCCAGGAGGTTCCTGGTGTGACCACACACACGCAAGAGGAACACACCATGCAACCACTCATCTTCCATCTGGGACAGGACCCTGGGGAGAGATACCCAATCAGGTAAGGGGTTGAAGATTGGACACCAGATGTCAAGAACCAACCTATTAAATATGAATTCAGTGCCTTAAAGGTATAGTTCACCCAAAAATGAAAATTACCCCATGATTTACTCACAATCAAGCCATCCTTGGTATATATGACTTTCTTCTTTCAGACGAATACAATAGGAGTTATATTTAAAAAAATGTCCTGGCTCTTCTAAGCTTTATAATGGCAGTGAATGGTGGTCGAGATTTTGAAGCAAAATTAAGTGCATCCATCCATCATAAAAAGTACTCCACACGGCTCCGGGGGGTAATTAATATTTACTGAGTAATTCATTTTGAAGAGGGGGTTTTCACCTGAGATTTGAAGCCAAATTATAGGGTGTATTTGGTTTTCACCCTTGAAAATCGGTCAAATTTGGACATGGAGTCACATTGAGATACCCATAGCTCTGGGATTGAGCCATATATGGCCTTAAAAATTAAGATTACAAAAGAAAAGTTATTTGAGAACCAAAATCAAAATGTTTAGCTATTGTTGCTTACAAATAGTTTTAGTCAGAATACACTGTCTTTGAATAGCTGTCAAAAGAGAATGATTTTTGCTCCCATAAGGAATTAAAACCAGCAGGGACGAACTGGATCATGCTAACCAACCCCATTTCATATTGTTAGTAATTTACATAAGAATATACAACATACATTTACAAAACATTGACTCTATGAGTATTTTGAATAGTTGCCTATGTAATGCATCTCATCTTCTTAATTGGATTTGTTTTAATCTAGGTCAGTTTCAGCTGTGTTATTAATCTAGTGAGTTGACAACTAGTGAGTTGTGTGTTTCAGGAGGAAGATCAATGTTCTAGCCTTGTTTTCTAAACAGGGTATAAACTTCTGTCCTGGCCAGGAGGTTCCTGGTGTGACCACACACACGCAAGAGGAACACACCATGCAACCACTCATCTTCCATCTGGGACAGGACCCTGGGGAGAGATACCCAATCAGGTAAGGGGTTGAAGATTGGACACCAGATGTCAAGAACCAACCTATTAAATATGAATTCAGTGCCTTAAAGGTATAGTTCACCCAAAAATGAAAATTACCCCATGATTTACTCACAATCAAGCCATCCTTGGTATATATGACTTTCTTCTTTCAGACGAATACAATAGGAGTTATATTTAAAAAAATGTCCTGGCTCTTCTAAGCTTTATAATGGCAGTGAATGGTGGTCGAGATTTTGAAGCAAAATTAAGTGCATCCATCCATCATAAAAAGTACTCCACACGGCTCCGGGGGGTGAATAAAAGCCTTCTGAAGTGAATTGATGCATTTGTGTAAGAAAAATATAATTTAAAACTTTATAAACTGTAATCTCTAGCTTCCGCTAACTGTCGTACGCGCGTTCACGGGAGAGTGGCGTTCCAGTGGATGAAATAGGATGTAGGCATAGCGTAAGCTCTGCTGAGAAGTGACAAACGTGGAAGTGAAGAAGAGTGAGTGAAGTGGCATGTGGCCAAGTATGGTTACCCATACTAGGAATTAGTGCTCTGCATTTAACCCATCCTAAGTGCACACACACAGCAGTGAACACACACACACTGTGAACACACACCCGGAGCAGTGGGCAGCCATTTTTATGCTGCGGCGCCCGGGAAGCAGTTGGGGGTTCGGTGCCTTGCTCAAGGGCACCTCAGTCGTGATATTGAAGGTGGGAGAGAGCGCTGTACATTCACCCCCCCCACCTACAAGCTCAAGGGCACCTCAGTCGTGGTATTGAAGGTGGGAGAGAGCACTGTACATTCACTCCCCCCACCTACAATCCCTGCCGGACTTGAGACTCGAACTCGCAACCTTTGGGTTATGAGTCCGACTCTCTAACCATTAGGCCACGACTTCCCCGAGAGAGAGCAAAACAAAACACTGGTCACAAATTACAAGTACAAAACGAGAATTTGTAAAGAAAAATGTCAGAGGATTTCAATATAAGCCATGAGACTGGTTTTCCTTTGCTGTAAACAAGACTTGGTTCTCGCGAGACAAGCATATTCTCACCGAAGATTACGCTATGCCTACGTACTACGTCATCCGCTGGACGCCACTCTCTCGTGAACACGCGTATGACAGTTAGCAGAAGCTAGAGATTACTGTTTATAAAGTTGTAAATATGGATACTTTTCTTACACAAACGCATCGCTTCACTTCAGAAGGCCTTTATTAACCTCCGGAGCTGAGTGGAGCTCTTTTTATGATGGATGGATGCACTTTATTTGGAATGCTTCAAAATCTCGACCACCGTTCACTGTCATTATAAAGCTTGGAAGAGCAAGGACATTTTTTTATATAACTCCAATTGTATTCGTCTGAAAGAAAAAAGTCATATACACCTAGGATGGCTTGAGGGTGAGTAAATCATGAGGTAATTTTCATTTTTGAGTGAACTATCCCTTTAAAGTCTGCATGAAATCATAATTTACAAAATTCATTTTGTTAGTGCCCATTGCTAGTCTTGAGGTGAACAATGTATCCGTGCAAGTTAATCCACTGAAAAAAAAAAAGATCTTGGTAATCTTTAATCAAAATCTGAACATTTGCTTCCGCTCTGGAATGGCATTACTTCTCTGATGATGTCAGTTTGATGGCTTGGGCAGAATATATTTAACCACGCCGCTACCAACCGTTAGTTTGCTGCGAGTAAAAGAGATAAGAGGAGGAGCGCAAAAGTAAAACCCCACCCTTTATTTAATATTCGGTTTCAGTTGGAAGCAGCTTCCCTGGACTTTAAACAAAATGCACCAATATTTCATTTTTTTTATGGAAAATAACCACTGTGAAAAAAAAAAGATGCATCACAATTATTTCTCAAATGATTCTGCGTTAATGCACAAAAATTAATGATATTTTAATTGTATTACAGGACTCCAGACAAAAAAAAAATCATTTAAGGAGCCAATGGCTCCCATAAGAAACAAAATTAGGTGCCAAATTATTTTTTTAAGTGCCACAGAATTAAGTAAAAGTTAAGTAAAAATATGAATATGCAAAATAGCACATTATATTTAGCAAAATGCTCCTCTTTATAGTTCTTTTTTCTAGGGGGGATTTCCCCCTCAGTCTGTTTGCGGATACACAAATAAAAACGTTCAACTCGGACACGCAGACGGTTGTCGTGGTAATAAACACCGTAAACAGCAACTGTTCGTGTGTCTGCGCTTATTGCGCATCTAGTATATGAAAAGCATTTTAGGGGCCCTTGACTTTTGGGGGCCCAAGGTAGTCGCCAAACTTTGCTTAATGGGTAAGTCCGCCCTGGATATGATAGGTTGATGTACCGCTTGAACTGAGGCACTACAGCGATCGCTCATGCCACATTAAAGAGCGCCAAAACGCTATTTATTGTTTGAATGTCGTTACAAATTTGGCAGAATTTTAAAGCTGATACTTTGTTTATTAAAAGGCAACAGAGCACAAAGCTTATTGTGATTATTGGATGGCAAGTGCGCTACAAATAATATGAAGTTCACACATGAACAGTACACAGCGTAGACTGAAGATCTTGATAACAAGAAGCCATATTAGAATCGATTATAAATGAGAATTGTTAACGATATTGTTAATGTCCACACAGCTGACAGCTTTAGCTGTTGTAGTTTGTTCAAGTTGTGCGAAATAGACACTGCTTTTCTGTACTTTTACTTCGCACATCTCCGTCATTTTCAATCTCTCTCATGCTGCCACAACTGGAGAATCTTTTAGCAGGTGTTCGGCAGAGATGAGGACTGTTTGAAAGTGTGTTTTTTTTTTTTTTGCCACTAAAACTTTGATGGCATTTTCTCAGTTTATTATGTCAACATAACAAAAGATGTGATCGCAAAACAAGCAGGAAAAAAGGCATTGCATACAAATTTTTTAGTCAACATGAAATTATTTAATCGCCAGTGGCGTTCTCAACAAAAATATCACTCACAAATTAATATTTTTGGTCGCAAATGCGGCCATCTTAGGAGCAGTCTGGAGCCCAATATTAATAATTTTGTTATTAAACAAATAACATTAATAGCAATATTAAACATTACAGACACAGGTAAATGCCATTGTGCAAAAGTGGTCAAATTACATTGAAATGTTTTGGTATCATGACTAACATGCAAATTGTTGCTCTCTTCTTGCTGTCAGTTCCAAACCAAGAACCTTTGAGTTTGAGCAAATATCAAGCTTCCACATGATTTGAAAAGGGCATATTTCGCATGTTTTGTGCCTTTATGCCAGTAATGAAAAATTGAGAGGCAGTGGAGCATCAAAAATCATTTAGTTAAATTGAAAACAAATGGAATTCTTAGTTTCCCAGAGATGTTAATTATCTTTAATGCTCTTTCTAGTCTAGGTCTATACTTAATGTTCTGTAGGAAACTGAATTAGCTTTCCACTTTATTATTGTAATCCTGTTGGAGCACACAAGTGTATTGATATGGGGCGTATGCTCACACCAGAAACCTTATCGCTGGCGGAATGTATGAACAACAAGAAAGAAACCACTGAATGCGGTTAATCAGTCATTCCATCCAAACTGTAATGAAGCACTGAAACTACATGGACACAAGTCTAGAATGAGCCCACGCTCTGTGACATGTTTGTCCGTCCCGGTTCTGCACAGCTCCGTGTACATCAGCTGGCAGAGAGCTGGACATTTGGGGTCGATAGTGAGGCAGCTGCAGATTGATTGTGCAGTCCGCAGAGGGTTTATTAAATGTGACTCTGTGAGCTAAAGATGAAGTTGTGCACATAAGTTTACATACCTCTTGAATATGCAAAACGTTCATAATTTTGACAAAATAAGAGGGATCATGAAAATTGCATGTTATTTTTTATGTAGTACTGTCTTGAATAAGCTATTTCACATAACCGATGTTTATATATACTCCACAAGACAAAATAATAACTGAATTTGTAAAAACGACCCTGTGCACAAGTTTACATAGGCAAGGCAAGGCAAGTATATTTGTATAGCACATTTCATACACAATGGTAATTCAAAGTGCTTTACATAAAAGAAAAGAAAAAAATAATCACAACAATAAAACAAGGAATTTAAAAACTTTGAAAATGATTTAAAAAATGTATTTAAGAGGTTTAAAATGAATTTAAGAAAACGATTATACATAGAATATAGTGCAATCAGTTCGGACATCGCACAGTGCTCATTCAATAAATGCACAGCTAAACAGATGAGTTTTGAGTCTGCATTTAAATGTGACTAATGTTTTAGCACATCTGATCTCTTCTGGAAGCTGATTCCAACTGCGGGCGCCATAATAACTAAAAGCAGACTCCCCTTGTTTTGGGTGAACCCTTGGTATTTCTAACTGACTTGATCCTAATGATCGGAGTGGTCTGTTAGGTTTATAATCAGTGAACATATCTGCTATGTATTTAGGTCCTAGGCCATTGAGTGATTTATAAACGAGTAAAAGTACTTTAAAATCAATCCTAAATATAACTGGAAGCCAGTGTAAGGACCTAGAGGACTGGTGTAATATGCTCAGATTTTCTGGTTCTAGTCAGAATTCTGGCAGCAGCGTTCTGGATGAGACTGCCTGTTGTTCTTCAGAAAAATCCTCCAGCTCCTGCACATTCTTTGGTTTTCCAGCATCTTCTGCATATTTGACCGCTTTCCAGCAGTGACCGTATGTTTTTTGAGATCCATCTTTTCACTCTGAGGACAATTGAGGGACTCATACATAACAATTACAAAAGGCCAAATTGATGCTTAGTAAAGGAAACACGATGCATTAAGAGCAATTTTTTTTTATTTTGATTAAAGATCATATTTTTTTCATTTAGTACTGCTATTCAGAAGCTACATAAATACATGCATGTTTCCCAGAAGACAAAATAAGGACAGTTTACCCTGATCGTCCAATTCAAACGGTTTAACACCCTCCAGCTCTTAATGCATCGTGTTGCCTTCTTGAGCGTCAGTAAATGTTTTGACCTTTTGTAATTGT